GATTAAAATTATATATATTAAAATATTCTTAATAACTAGATTAATTATCATTTATAATGAAAATAAAAATTATTGTGTAATTTATGTATATCTATTAATTTTCATATACAATTTTTATTTTTAACAAAAGTTTTTTTTTCTTTTATGAGTAAGAGGAATTTATAAGTAGACTATTATAGTTTAATAACTCTTAACATTATCTTCAATGAGAATGAGAATTGATTTATGAGTAGCTCGATTTCGAGTTAATGTAAATGAGAAATTATAATCATTACTTTTGTTTCATAGACAATCCACTTATTATTTTAATTCATTTTTGAACATATCAATTAATCTTTATTAGATTAAGATGATTAATTTTGTTATCATCCATATGTTATTAAATCTTAATAATGCTTTAACTGATACACATTATCATCATCTCGATTAATTTAATAAAGTTTGTCAATTTGTTATGTTTCTTCGAAACAAGAAGAAGACATTGCCAAAGATTATTTAACAATTATTATCGATTATTATCCTGTTCATTATTTTTTAAACTTTTTAAAATAAAAATGTAAGAAAGTTTAATCAGCGAAATGCGATTGTGCAAAGTTAGGTAAGTTAAATCCTTTGTAAATTATTCCTCTTAATATCTTAAAGCTTTCCGATTTTCTCGAAGAATAATTGAAATTAGAATCGCCTCAAGAATCCAGAACGCTTTTAAATTCGAATTTAGGAACGAACTTCTCAAGTTCCGATAGACTCCATTTTAGACTTCTAATTAAAAACGCTTTAAAAAAATCTACGATTTAATCTCTGAATTTCATGATACTTTGTACTAATGTGTGAATAATGTATTGAGAATAGTATAGAAAATTTTTTCAATTATAATTTATTGCATTTGAACATCAGCATTTTTAAACACGATGAAACTGGAACTCGTTTGTTTTTATAGTATTATTTTATAGTATAGTTTTTATAGTAGTTTTTATAGTCATTCAGAAAATAATGTGATTTTAATGTGATCATTAAGCTTGTTTATTGAAAATTTTCTATTTTTCAGAAAAGTTACGAAATATTTGAAATATTTTTTATGAAATAATGCTGAATAAGAATAAAAATTTAACATAAAATTTATTTATGTTATAATAAAAAGCAACTATTAAATCCTGTTTAAAAATGAAACTTATATAATTAAATAATTTATTGTCAAGATATGCTTGCATTATAGAAAATCTCTATAAATCTTTACAAAGTTATTCTTTTTTTCTTTTTATTACAAATACTAATTATAATACTACTAGTAAAAGAAGCAGAAATTTAAGTTTTGAATGAGTTATTATTAATAATATTATTCAATTTCTTTTTATTTGAATATGATAATTTTTGTATCATATCAAATCTAATCCAATTGAGATTTAAATTGGATATTAAAATACTAAATAACTATTTCAAATGTAAAAAGCAAAGATACAAAAAAATTGAAATCATAAAAGAAATTTTAAGAAATAATGAGGAAATATAAAAATATAAAAGATGCAATGCCTATTGACTTAAATGCTGAAGCAGTGAAATTCTCAAAATAGTGCTTAAATATTGCAATTAGTCACATATATAACAGAGAAGAAAAATTTGATAATCTAGAGGAAATGTAATAGAAGAAATTAAATATAGTAAATTATTATAATTATATTAATAGATTGAAGAGTATTTTGAAGAATTATATATATTAATACTATTACTACTATTCTGAAGAATATAAAATATTTCTAGAGTTTTGGAATCAAAACTAATAAAACAAAGAGATATTTGCTTTTTTTAAAGAATTAAAAAATACAAAGCATCAATGTAAATATTAAAAACATAATATAAAATTTAATAAGCTATACGAACAAACAACTAATGACTCTAAAAAATAAAAAAAAAAATAATAGGAACAGCAAAGAATATATGATTCAGAATAAAAAATTCGGAGTTGGATAGTAAGGATGATATCAACACGAGAAATGAGAGATTAAAAAAGATCAAGAATTAAAAACAAACGAACTAAACCGAGAAAATTATTTCATAATATAACAAATGATATTAAATGCTTAAACAATAAAATAAATATTAAAATGAAAAGATAAAAATTTATAATTAATCGCTATGGAATCTGAATATGAGGTTTTTTTTTTATTGAAAATGAAACTTGGAAGTTGATAAACTTTTATAAAAATAAAAAAACTGTATATGAAATGAATATTTAAAATTAAATATAAACAACATAATAGCATAAAAAGATGCACGATAAAGTTAGTTACATATAGATACGAATAACGAAGAGGAATTAATTACGATAAAATTTTTGCATCTGTGGCAAAAACTGAAACGATTATTTCGAGCATTTTTAATTGCATGTGTGAAAAATTACATATTTATTAAATGAATATAATTATATTATCTATATAAAAAAAAGCTAAGCGATTTTAGATGGAATAATTATTTATTTGGATGAAGAATATAAAAATAAAATTTGTCTAAATAAATCATTAATTATTTTAGTTTAAAACAGTTAAACAATAAATAACACTAATATCTATGAAATGTAAACAAATATGCATTTTGTGTTCATATTAAAAAAAAAGAAAATAAAAAAATAATCATAATTATATAATTTGATGATTTATTAATAACATTGAGAAATATAAAAACATTAAACGAAATTGAAAAGATATTATAGAACAAATTTTAAATGAAAAATATAGAATTAATTAACAATACATTAAAAATCAAAATTTAAAAAAAAAATAAATCAATGGGATTCATGAAATTAATTAAAAGAATTATGTAAAAAGTTTAATAAAAAAACTTGGAATGAAAAATTAAAAAGTTATAAAAATAATTAAAACACGAAAAGAAAAATATGCATTTTAACGTTTTAAACAATAAAAGAAAAAGAAGTAATGAAAAACAAGCTATATAGAGAACTATATAGATAAAATAATATATCTTACAAACACAATTAGATTTAGCTTTCACAGTCAACACACAGGAATAATTAAAATTAGCGAAACGTGTTTTATGGTATGTTAAATATACGATGAAATATGGAATGGTATACATATACGAAATAACAAATGTACATTTGTAAATCTATTTGTGAATACATTTGTGAAGGTTTGTTTAAAATTTCAGAGATCAAATTTATGGTTTAAAATTATCATTTATATATAAACATCATTATAATAACGAATGGATCAATTAGCTGAATGTCAAAGAAACAAAAATTAATAATGCTTTCAAATGATATGAAAATATATGATGCTTTTGAAATAATTAAAGAATAAAATATATAAAAAAATATATAAAAAAAACTTAAAAATTTCATAAAATTCAAAGATATACAAATAAATCAACGAAAATGTTTTGCAATAAAGAATTGGCAATTAATTAAAATAAGAATAATACATGTTATAATAAAAGTAAAATCAATATAAATATTAATATACAATATTATATTTCATGCAAAACATTAAAAAATAGAGAAACATTAAAGAACAATTCAGAATACAATTAAGTTTTTACCAAAGAATAAATATTTCCATTTCTTTAAATTATTAATGACTTTGATATAGAAAACAATCGATATAGAGCACATCGAAATAGAAAAATCAAATCTTGTTAGGTGTTGTAATTGATGCGTACTTTTATATCTTTTTTAACTTATTATGTTACTATGTCGAATGAGAAAGTTTTATAGATATTGATATATATAATTAAAATTAATTGATAATATTTAAATGACAATTTATCCAAGAATTTTTTTCTTTATTAAAAAATAAAATTGTTAATAATAAAAATATGCATCTGAACTTTTTAAAAATGTTATTATTACTTACAATTAGTATAAGATGTAGATATTGAAAAAAATTCCCAGATGAAAGTATATTAAAAGTATAAAAAACTAAAACTTTAAAGTGAATTTTATTTCCTCCAAAATATTTTTCACTGAAAAAAATGCTCTATGCAATTCATAATATGAATATTCATTAAAAATCTCTTAAGATTCTCAGCTTAAGAAAATTTAAAAAAAAAGTTCAAATACTTGTAACCTATTTGTAAACTATTTTTTATATTAAAATATCTAATAACTAGAACAAATCATAAATAACCAAAACAACAAAATAATATTAATTATTTTTATACTTAAAATAATTTCTAACTATAAAAAACGAAAATATATCGAGATACTTTCATAAATTGTATCCACTTTTACTAAGTATACCCATATAGATATGTAAAGTAGGCGATATCTTACCTGAATCATCACGAATAAAGGTATATAGAAGCTCCCAAGCGTGGCGTAAATCTGGTAGAAGAAATTCTGGCAGACAACGCAATGGGATGGTCCAGTCTCAGAATAAGTGTGCTCATTTCCCATAATCAACAATGGTGGCAGACTAATGCAGGCTGCCCCTAGCCAAACAAGGCTGACGTAGACGATCATTCTTCGTGGTGTCCTTTTTACCCCGTATTTCAACGGCTTCGTTATGGCACAGAATCTATGTCAGCAAGATAAACCAATGTTCGCAATGTTTTCGATGATATTCACTTTGATGAAGCGAAATGAATATAAATGTAACATGTATATTAGGAATAAAACATAAGGATAAAATTCCTTTTTTTTTCACGAATTCTAATATTAAACAACAAAACTTTCTATAGTATAGTATTTATGTTTGAATTAATGCATATTTAAAATTTGTATAAAAAATAAAAAGAATGTTCTTTGAAATATGGTAAATTATTTAAAAATTAAATATTATTTATTTATTAATTTTTAACAAAACATTTTGCAATAAATAATGTTTATTTCTTGAATGAAGAAATTCGGAATAAAGGACAATGAGCATTTTTATATATATTATATTTTTTGGCCATGTACGAACACTATTACCGGTTATTTCTTAATATTGCTGTTAGTGATTCATCAAAAACTATGTAGAGTTTAGAAATCTCTTATGAACGATAATATAATGAATTTTTCTTTCTATAAATAAATAAATTGTTTATTAAGAGAATAATAAGATATTATTTTTATTTATATATTGAAAATTTATTTAATAATTTGTTTATTATTTATTATTGTTTATGCTTTATTATTTATTATTTTTGTAAATATTTCTTTAGACATTATTTAAAAAATATTAGATATCACGTTTTATGTAAACAATCACGAGACGGAGATAACGTTCACTTATAGGTATGTTTTACTTTGATAGCGGCTCAAGTCACACTCGATCCCGATAAATAATCATTAACAATAAAAATTATATAAACATGATATGTAAACATGTATTAATTTGACGAAGTACGTGAAAATTCTAAAGAATTCAGTAAAAATCGTTTTTATCAGTTAATAATTATATTTATCATAAAAAAATTATATTTTTTCAAATTTTTATATGTTATGTTTGTATAATCGAAAATGTTTATAATCTTTATTGAATCAATTACAAAATATCATTGTATAAGTATTAATTAATTATACTTAATTTGTTCATTTAGAATAAATCATTTTATATATTTATTTTAAAATATTACTAAATTTGTTTAACAATATTTGTTTAATAAGATTGAAGAAAATTGGTATATTAATAAAGATTAATAAAGATAGATATTATAAAATAAAAAAATATATTAAATATGTAATAGTTTAAAAAAACAAACAAAAATTCAAAGCTCGTATATCATCTTAAAAATTAATTTTACAGAAATTATTATTTGCGCAGTAAATGTGAAAAATTAGAAATAAATTTTTTTTATTATTAGAAAATAATTGTATAATTTTCATAATTGTAATAATTTTTATTCTTTTTAAATTTTCTTTGTAAATTCTGTCCTATTTTTTTCTTCGCGTAATTTTTCCTCGTGCATTATTACAAGTTCATACATAAATATGTACCAAGTGTAAAGAAAATATATGTCACGGAATTATTTATTCTCTCCATTTCTGGTTCGATGAAACTCTGCATTAGAATGTGATACTTGGAACCAGAAACTTGTGGTCTAGTTTTTTTCGTTCTTCGAAATGATCGTTTATACGATCAAACAATAATTTTTATTGTATATTTCTGAAACATAATTCTAGCTTAGAACTCTGTGTTTTTTTTTTTGTGAACCACTTTCGAAGCAATTTGATTATATAAAGTTTTAAATATTTTTATAAAAAAACGAAAAAAGAAAATATCATCAATTTTATAATAATTTCTAAAATCATTATTCTATAATAATAAAAACAAAGAAAAAGTAATTTATAAATTATTATTATACTTTGATATTATTATAATAAGAAAAAAATAAATAATTATTATTAATAATTAATTGTAATCTTCTTAAATAATTTTATTTTTATTTTCATTTTCGATATTGTATTGTAATAAATTAAGATAAATTGTGTTCGATTTATAAAAAATATATATAAAATACGTAAAGTTGACAATATTAAAATTTTTTAATACGATTATTTTTTCTTCGTAACAATGAATTTTTTTTCATGAATTTAAAATTTTGACAGATTGAAAATAACAAACAAATGAAAATAATTAATAATATTACAAATGTAAAAAATCGAATAATATTTATTTTATGGAATCAACATTACGGAAATAAATTAGAAAGAATGAGGAAAAAAAGGAAAATTAATTCAAGAATGTATTTTATTTCTTTTATTGTATTTATATAACGCTATTATATATCACATAACTTTAATATCCATACTTAAAACTAAAAACAATTATTATAATCGCATCAAACGATCCGATAATTCTATCCTAATTATAATAATTTAAAATTTGATCTTTCAATTAAAACACCTAATTTACTTTATCAAAGTCACGATCATTCTCAAAACTCAATTTTCGTAGAAAATTTCTAGATGAAGACTACTCACCGGTCCACAGAGATCATGCAGAGATTCAGGATGCTGGCCGTGCAACTGAGTACGTCGAAGCTAACCCAAAGGTCGCACATAATTGCGCCGAAGGACCAATTACCGGAAATCTCGTAGAGCAACGCCATCGGCATTACCAGAAGAGCAACGCAGAGATCGCTAACTGCAAGGCTAACCAAGAGATAGTTGCAAGGCCTTCGCAGCTTCCTAACGAGGAACACGGCGACGCAAACCAGAATGTTACCGATCACAGTCCCGACGATGATACTGCCGAGCACCAAGGCGATAAGTATTGACCTAAAAAAAAATAAAAAAATAAAAAAATTAAAAAAAATAAAAATAAAATAAAATAAGAATATTTTTATTGCATAATATTATAAAATTATTATTATTATATGAAAATATATATTTTGCCCATTATAAAATACATTTAGATTGTTGAAAAAAGTGCAGTAGTTCACAAAAAATATTTGAACACTTTTTTAATGAAATGTTAACAATCAATTTTTTATTTTTAATGAAACTTTATGAATATGTAGAAAATTTATTATATATAGAGCGATTATTTTATCAAAATATTATAAATAATATTATTTTATGAAAATAAAATTAATCTTTAATTTCTTATATTTTTTATTTTTTAAACATAACTTTTTTTAAATTATAAAATGTTTAGAATTTAATCCTTTATTATCCTGCTGTAAAATAAAATTTTTCAAAATTGTATTTAAAATGAAAATATACTGAAACATTGGAAATTGATTTCATCCCTCTTAAAAAGATTTGTTAATGAAAAAATTATTTTATATTAATTTATTGTGCCCTATATACAAACAAACTTTCATTTATATCAAAATTTTCAGATTAAATAAATTTCTAAAATCTATAAATCAATATTCAAATATTTTTGTGAACCATTGTACATTATTTTAGGAATAAAAATATTTTTTTTTTTTAAATAGAACCAATTTTAGGTTTGCTTTATTAGTGTGCCATATGATAAATAATCAAGTTTTTGTGATATATCAATTATATAATACATGCCCTTTGCAAAAAAATTTGATAAAATATATTGAACAAGGTATATAGTGTATGGTGCATAGTGCATATTGAGTATACTGCAAATATTCAAATAACAATATTCGATAAGGAAACAATGAAGCACAAAAAGCACAAATGGTTTTTGAAACCCATAGCAATTTTCTTTTTTTTATTTTCATTATTTTGTAAGGTTATTTTAACATTCCACTTTTAAAATTTTTTAATAATAAGAAATTAATTAAATTATAATTTCAATATATTGGAAATTAAAAATGAAATAAATAAAAAAAGAAACATTTATTTTCTTTAAAAATTAAAAATTAAAAATTAAAATTATTAAAACGACTATAGAAAAAAACAATAAGTATAAAAAAATCTTTACCTATTAATTTACTCTTATTATTTGCATATTATTTTATTATTAAATAATATTAGAATAAAATATTTTGCTAAATAAATAAATTAATATAAATAAGAAGAGCAATATTATAAAGCATTTTCTTTAAGTTTTAATAGTTAAAGCCTTCGTAGTTTATATTGTACTTATATTATATATTGAAATTAAAATTATATATAGATATATACATATAAATTCTTTATTATAAAAAAATAATTCTATTTATCATAAATTAACAGAATCATATAATATCAAATTGTTAAAAAGATAGATTTTATTGGATTTTATTGTTTTTACAATTATTTTTTTCATCGTAAAAAAATGTAGTAATTATATGAATCTTTAATGTAGAATTTTATTTATATGAATTATTTTCTTTAATATATTAATATTAATTTTTGTTTTTATTGTATTCTAAATTATCTTTTATTTAAATACGAAAATAACTATATATATATAATGGGATGTATTAGTAAAATTTTATTCCTAATCAGTTCAATAAAAGCAATAATTTTAATAAAATATTTTATTAAAAAATTTTTAAATTATTTTATTAATAAAATACTTATTAGATAAGATAAAGATATTGTAATTTCTTTTTAGATAAAATATTCATCTAAATACCAAGATGGTTTTCATAATCGAAATAGATTATATTTCGAAAGAGACATTCGGTAAGTAATATAAAATAGTTTTAAGAAAAAGGAACAAACTGAATGTAGGAAGATCTATTTTTTTATAAGTTTACTTTTTTTTATATGTAACGATATATCTAAAAAATGAAAATAAACTTTTTTTAAATGAAATCTTATATTTTTTTTACTTTTTTTATTTTATACTTTTTTACTTTTAGATCGACTTACAATAATTCTTACAAACAATTGTGAAAACATTCATATTAGAAATCTATATATTACAATATATAAACAATCAGATTTATAAATATTTCATATTTCTTATAAATACATGTAGATACTAATATAAACACATAAGAAATGCCAAATCTTATTAAATTTATAATTTGCTAATTTTATTACAAACAAATTAATATCATATTCATATTTATTTTACGCGGAATTTGATACAAAAATTAATGTTAATATATAAAATGTAAATATATTTTCTTGTTTTATTGTAAAATAAAAATTTTTTAAACTGAAAATATATAATAATATATTAATATGTATCATGAATGTAACAAGGACGAATTTTTTTATAATAATATGAACAATGAGTACTTCAATTATGTTAAAGAAAAAATGAAAAAACGAATTATGAAATACTTTTTGACAATATTGATAGGAAATTTGAAAATCTTCTTCATAAGAAAGTTGAAATATCTTATAAATCGTTGATTCTTTAATATTATATTTTAATATTTTTTCACACAGATTGTTATAATGAATCAATAATAAAATAAAGAAAAATGATTCCATTTAGAAAAACATCGTTGCATTCACAGAAAAAGAAAGTCGATACTAATACAAGATATATTCTTTTTTAAGATTTTTCTAAAAATTCTTCATTATAGTACAACGATAATAAGAGGTCTAAATCAAAATTCGATGAAATTGGATTAGACATCGATACAATAGATGTAGAAATCGATGAATTTAACGTTTAAATTGTTGGATTACCGAATCTGCTGCTTAGGACATCAATCTGATGATATCTAACTTATAGAGCGTAACGGTAGCAAATTCTGTACATTAAAATCAATAAACATCTTGTAATATATAGGTAAAGTAATATATCATAAAAATGAAATTGCAGGAACGAATGAAAACTAAAGAATCTTTTATTATAAAGTATATATTCAAAATATTATGATACAAATTGTAAGAACGTAATTTATTAAATTACAATTTGAAGATTCAATGTCATACCTATTTTTTTTTAATAGTACCATATATTTTTTATATATTAATATTGATGCATTTTATTATTAGAAAAATGTAAGAAAAAATTTGTATCAAAAATTAGTTAAAATTTAAAAGAGTGTTTAATTTTATATTTGCAAAATTTAGCTCATAAAGGAAAAATTGCATGTTTATAATTTCACAGAATATATATTATACAATTAAAGTTAATATCTTTTAAATTAATCAAATGATATAAATATTCATATTTTTCTATAAAGAGAATAACAATGTTTTAATTGATATATATAGAAAAATATATAATCGTTTTATTTAAAAAAAAAAATGATTACGAATTTTATGGATTTTTTTTGCATACATATACCAAGTGATATATTATTTAAAATTATTTCATTTATTCTATAAAATTTTATTTTTAAGAGCTTATTGCTTAAGAATTATAATTGAACTTAGACCTATAAAATATCTTACATAAGATTAAAATTTTAATTGAAAATATGATATTGCATATGCAATAATTTAATAAATGAAAATAAGAAAAAAATAAATACCAAGTGAAAATTATTTCAGGAAACAAATAATATAGAATATTTTTTCATTGTTATACGCATAGATGAAGTTGTATGCAAATGAACATGCATTTGCAAATTGTCAACATTGACTTATACTTCACATTTTTGTTTAACTTTATATTTTATATGTAAATTTATCTTCTTTTGCATTATTTCTACAATACTGTATACCGATGAGAAATAAATAAACGATACCAATCAGTCAGAATTATTTTCATGTCAACCATGCGAAAGTATTCTATTTTTTCTCACAAACGACAATATCTGATCAAATTGCTATTGTAAACATAATAAACATAGTTGTTATTGCATTTACAATGAAGAACAATCGATGGCAAGTTTGTTTTATCATATAAACACATAAACATAGTTTATTTATTTAAAATATTAATATCTAACTATATAAATTTAAATATAATCATAATGTAATTCTTTAGTGATAAAATAAAAATATATTAATCTGAATCCTCAGATTTGCTACTTATAAACTATTATATTAAATAAAAATAATTTTTCTAATTTTCTCAAAAACAAAACAAAACTTGATAATTTTGTAAATTAAATTCAAAAACAAAAAATTTTATTTTATATTTATCCTTTTATATTAGGAAATGATATTCTATATTTTCAATACTTCAATAAAGATTTTATCTAATCTAATGTTCGTCATGACAAATCGGACAAAGGATTAATATAAATTAAAATTAACCTTAACAAATATTACATTTCATTGAAATAAATCATAACAGATTATATATATCGGTCAACTATATTAATAATTGACATCCACGAAAAATTGACATACTAGAAATATTCAGCGACAAAACGAAATGAGGTTATAACAGTAATTAAACTGCAAAACCACTGTACAAAACGTACAGTTTAATTTAGGATAATCTTACACATCGCGCGATACCATCACGCTCGTAACCCTTATTTATATTTATCACGTTGCCGAGCATTTTCATCGCAAAAAGTACGAGGTTATTACAGTGATATATATGTATAAAATATATGCATCATTGAGTTTCAACGTTATTGTTCACTGATAAAAGCGATACGTTTCAGAGCCGAGAACTGAGAGAAATCGAGAAACAGAGAGAAAGCGATTAAATCACAGCGTGATTTGCTTAAATTGAAAACCGATTATTATGATTTTTGTTTTGCAGCTTGTTTTGATTCGCGTATCTGTATTTTGTTATTAAAAATATTGAGAATTTTAATTGAAAGAATTTTATAGCTTGCTAAATTAAGACCATTTCTTTTCTTTTCAAATTCAATTATATACGTGTAAATCTTACTCTATACTTTATTCTTTTATCCTAATTTTTAAATAGGAATTTTTAAATATGTATTTATAAATTAATATCTAGCTATATAAATTTAAATGTAACCACAATGTGAT